CTGCCTCCGAGGAACCAACTAAGGCAGCATCTGACTGTTTTCTTTTTCTTTCCTTTTTTAATGTTGGCCTGTTTTAATTCTAAGTAAAGCAATTCCAAAAATACAAACTCAACATCAGAGCCATGTGAACCACCACGATAAAATAAAACAGACGTTCACAATAATTACGTCTAAAGACAGTTTAGCTTGGTAAGTCATATTCCAAGTAAGGTAAAGAAAGAGTTACTAGGGCCGGGGATTTAGCTCAGTGGTTCTGCCGCCTGCCTCGCAAGCCCAAGGTCCTGAGTTCGAACCCGGTACCAAAAAAAATAAAGAGTTACTAAAAATACTGCTGGTGTTCAGTTAGAATTAAATGACTTTGGTGAAAATGAAATAATATAAGGTGGAGTGTACATGGGATTTACATTTTCTATTACCCCTAGATATAAAAAACCTTCAAGAAAAATCAGCACAAACTCTGTGTGTTATTCAAAATATTGCAGCTGCAAGAAAGGCAACTTGAATTTAATAGCTAGGGGAAAATCAAGTTTTGGTGGAGGTAAACTGAAGTGACAGTGTTTGATTTGCACTTTTGTAAAGCTCATTTATACCCGCTAAACCAGGAACCAAGTGCAGAACAATGAAGTTTTCTGCTTCTTTTGGCTATAATGTGATAAGAAAAAGTCATCTTTGGAAGATGTTTAACGAAATAAAGCAACATTCTTTATAACCAGTCAAATAATTAACAGAATAAATAAGCACTAACCCACATTTTTACCACTTTGTCATCACTTTACATATTTTCCATTTTGGCAGCAAGTTCTCCAATTTTCTGTCTAAAATCCACCACTCATTTTAAATAGTAAAATATATAGCCACCAAAATAAGAATAGTCTTCTGTTCAGTCTTTGGCTAAGAAACAAAACAAAAAAGAAACAAGACAACTCTAACACGGGTGACAAAAAGAAACTTTTTAACATGTAAAATAAAGTTATCAGTTTAAATCTTGGTACATTTTATAAAAACAAGAGGTGATGTTGTAATAAAACAGCAGAAGCCTTAGCTGGCAACATTCTGTTTGTTAACCCTGTGCAATAAAATGCTTCGTTCATACTACCCTTATTCAAACATGACTAACAGCGACTACAGACACTTTAGGAAACCCCCCGATTCCCACAGACTTACTGTTAAAACTGAGAGGCATTTACAATCAAATGTGCCATGAAAACTTGAAAATGTTACTTCTGGTAGGAAACAATGTTGATATTGTTTGAATTTGCTTTAGGTACTGAACAGCTGAGTTACAAGGACTGAGAGCAAAAAGCACACTGAAAGCCCACGAACTCTGTTGTTCACACCCTTCTTCAGTGCACGCTAAACTTGCTTGACACATTTCTCCTCATACATAGCAAGCAACCGCCCCCAGTAAAAGCCTGAGAAGAAATGCTGCTGTGTAAATACTGCAACTATTCCTGAAAAGAGAAGTATGGGCTATATCCTCCAAAGCTGCACATTCCCATAATTTGTATTGCATAGGTCACATAATCACACACACACACATATATATACACATATAATATATATAATATATATATATATATACACGTGTATAATATGTACATGCAAAGAATGTATAAAGACTACAATGAAGTCTAGTCACAGAGCAATTTACAGGCTCAATATATTGTTTTACACTTTGCTTGAAAGAAAATTTCAGTATTTTGCAGTCTTTCGGTAGGCACTGTATACACTGCACTTTATGAAGTCTAAAAGGTATTGAAATAAAGTTTTTCCCAACATTTTGGTATAACAAAACAGACAATGTTTCGCCAAATACTTGTGATATCTACATGATCTGTTTGCTCTGATAACCACTAATCACAAAAACTGACTCAATGGAATAATTAGAAAAACTCTAACACTATGCATGAGTTTGAATCTTTTTTTTTTTTTTTTTTTTTTTTTTTTTTTTGTTGCGTACTGGGGATTGAACTTGGGGCCTTGTGCTTGCAAGGCAGATGGTGACACTTCTGAGCTAAATCACTGGCCCATGAATCATTTTTAAATATCCTATCCTAGAAACATTTTCCAAATCTTATGGTTGAAAAAAATTGTCTCTGTTTTTATTTTTAAGAGGTATCTTTTTGACAATATCTGTAGCAATGAGAAGGACATGTTAAGGCTGGTATCATCTCCTTCTGTGACTGTGGTTGTTTTTGATGATGTTGCTTTTTCTTTGTTTGTTTTGGGTTTTTTGAGACAGGGTCTCACTATGTAGTTGAAACTGACCTGGAACTCATTATGTAGCCCAGGTTGGTCTTGAACTCACAGAAATCCTCCTGCCTCAGCCTCCAGAGTGCTGGGATTACAGGCATGCACCACCACACCTGGCTATGATGTTGTTTTTTAAGACAGTAAAAGCCAGAGTCCTTTAGGGCTTTGAACCGTACGTGCAGAAAATGAGTGCAGCGAACACAATATTCAATCTTACAGCCAGGATGCAGTTGCTCCTTCCCATTTCACGAGACACTGCACCTTTCCATCAGGTGTCACCTGATGAGTCGAAACTCAGTACTTTTCGCCACATGCTACTCTACCTGCAGCACCAAAATAAGTAGCAATGGAGTTTTTTCCACGATTGAGTTGTAACTCTTGATCTGCTAAGTTATTCAGGATCCCTGTGTCGAGCTCTTCGAATTGATAATCTTCTTGGCCTTCATCATCTTTTACAGTTTCTGAGTTCTGACTCTGGAGTGCTCTTCTCGGAAGACGACCTCCTCTTCTATGCAAATGTGGTATTGCAGCAGGGCCAAGCTCTACCTGAGCGAGTCCTTTTCCTGGAGTCAGATAAGCCACAATGCCGGGAAATACTAGATGAGGCAGTTTCTTTTGTACTGGCAGCACCCGTGAAATCCATATCCGAGGTATTGGATGAATGTGTAGTTCCCTCAGTTAACCCTCTAAAGGGATAACTAATCCAAGACAGGGTTCTCAGAAACGGATTCCTTATCCACAGGCGGCTCAGCAGTCTTTTGTAACATTTTTCTCATATATGGGCCAGGAGTAAGACCTACAGATTTTTTCTTTCTTTCCTTTTTTTCCCCCTCTCCATTGCTTATTTCTCTTGGATCAAATATAGGTCTGGATGCCTTTTTGCCTTCAATTTGAAATTCGTGGGATGTTCTTCAGGTGCTTTCTCTGCTTTGGAAGCCACATTTGGTGGCACAGGAGGAACACGAATTCGCAACCCAAACAAGTGCTTCTTCATCTTTATTTCTTTCCCAGACATAAACATGCCTTGTAATCATTTAATACCTCCAGAACATGCTCATATCTTTCAGACTTTGGTGTGTCTGCCGGCTCTCCAGGGTGCAGTCTATCCCAGTTTTCATTAATATATGTCATAAGCTCAAGTTCCGAATCAAAACATTTCTTCTTGTGAATAACACTTAGGTTGTGAAGGCAAAGATGTCCTGTATCTACCCACTGTGATGGTAGAGGTCTGAGCTATTCTGGTCCAGAATTGCAGACACAGCAAATAAATGTATTAAAATCTACCTCCAAATAGCGTGGGCTTTTGAAGGCATTGCACACAAGCTTCATGAAACCACCGCTGACATTTGCAGCCCTGGAGCATCTTTAAAGACCAGTCTCCAGGGCCCTCACAACAGCAGTAACGCTGCCGAACGCTGGTTTGATGACCGGCGTCCCATTCAAGCCCTACCACGCTACAGGGTAATGTCTGCTCCACGACTTGCAATGCTTTGGCATTTGGTCCTTTCTTGAGGGCCCCGCCCCCTCTTCGTTGTTGTTGCAAAAACACACTGTGGACAGAGCCATTCTGCATCTGAATCAATCACACCGGAATCCGTGTGAGGTGTACGACACAGCTGATGATTCCCTTTGGCCACATTTGTCACTCATAACCATTTCATTAGGAGCCTCTGAGTACTCCTCTTGACATACTGCACACACCATTTCCCCACTTCCGGGGGCCCTGTTTGAATGTCCCTCCAGAGAAGCCCGGATGTAGAACTGCCTTCAAATATGGTGAAGCAGCCCTGTTTCAATACGTTTATCTTTTTGATAGTTCCAAGATAAAACAAGCCATCTGACCATCTAGCTAGGCCATCCTGGCCCTCTTCAAATTTACATGCTGGCTTTTTGGCTTTATGTCCATCCTGTAAAGACAGCTTGGTCAAGAACGTTGGGGTCTTTGGTTTCTACATAAAGGAGACCGCTTGTGGACCAGCCTCAAACACAGGCCACTGCCTCAGCCCCTACCATTTTGGGTTCCCGCGGACTGTGGTGCATTCTGGGAGAGCGGGGGGCCTCCAAGTCCCAATGGCAGCTCCCCAGGACCGCAGAGAGGCGGGGACTCCTGACTTTGCTTTAGGGTGACCCGGTACTGAAGAGAGCAGTGGCCTCCGCATTTCCCACTGTGCCTCTGGGTGTGGTGCGCGGGGAGTCCCCATGCTCTGGCCTCGCTCACAGCCTGAAAGGGCTGGTTCCTGTGGAGGTGGAGGTGGAGGCCCCCGAGGTCCAGGGCTTCACCCCCAGAGCCCAGAATGAGGGGTGGGGAGAGAGACCCTGGTGCCGGAAAGGAAGGACCAGACATTCCTGGGCCCTTGGCTTCTCTCAATTCTCAAACGCTCGCCCAGCTCCTGGGGAGCCTGTGAAAGCCCTCTGTGGAATCCATCATTTCCGGAATGGGCTTTTCCCTAACACTGAGAATGAGGAAGTGAGGGCAGGAATGCTGCCAATTTTAGGAAAGGGGAGAGTGTGGCCCGGGGGAGAACTCATCCCAGTGACCCCTGTTGTCTATGGGCTATGAACGGACCTGCTCAAAAACAGAAAACGCGGCTGCCCTGTCTCTCCCTGCTTTAGCTTGCTGTGTGACCCTGGGGAGGACTCTCGCCTTCTCTGTGCTTCAGCTTCCCACGGCTCCCTTCCAAAGGGGTTCTCTCATCTGGACGCGACTCCTTCTACAGCTGACCGGTCTTCCCCCTCTGGTTCTTCAGATGGAAGTGCCGTATTCCGAGGCTGCTTCCGAAGGCCCGATAACCTTTCCCTGGCCTTGCCTGTGTCAGCCGCCATGCCCAACATGTCTGTGGACCAGTGTGTAGACTTCTGCACGGAGAAGGTGAGTGCACAGGGCTGTGCTCACGGCCCTCGGGGCGGGGGAGGCTGAAGGAGCAGGGCGCTTTCTGGAGAAGTCACGGTCAGGATGGACGAGGCCCCTGGTGCCTACCTGGGACTTGGGTGAGGAATGTGGTCATTTCCGGAGGTTCCCAGGGGAGCAAGGGTGTGTGTGTGTGTGTGTGTGTGTGTGTGTGTGTGTGTGTGTGTGT